ACGGGTGACCTTTCCCTGCGCCCCTGCTCGGTGGTAAGGGGTTAAAGTGGACCTGGGGAGCAGACGTTTTGGGGGAAATGTGTCATTTTCGATTTTCCTTTTCTTCCTCTTTAGTTTAAACGAAAGTGAGAGACAGCTGTGGAGGAAAGATGCATAAATGGGAAAAGGATGTTGAAACGCAAAGATTATGCTTTCTAGGGTGCCATAGTAGGTGCTGCTCATCTGGCTTCTAGTTAGAAAGTCCTTTTTTAACCAGCTGACTGTTTTGTGTGTGACACCTGCGTGTCGTGAAGAGCAGCAGGTGGAAGAAGAAGTGGCGATATGCCCAGGACATAGCAGATGCCCTGAAAACGTACTCAGTCACATGCGGTTATCGCGGTCACTTCTTTATCTGGAGTGTGCAATAAGAATGCCCTCTTTAGCCAGGGATATTTTCCATAACAGATAGCTGTATAGGATGGTATTGTGTTTCCTGCTCAGGAATCATTGCCTAAAACAGGAAGCTGTTTATTTAGATGGTCCATATTTTTACCAGCTCATGTACAAAGGCCAGAGCTATCTGAACTGACCTTTGCCGGGGTTCATTTGCCTCTTGCCAGGCAGGTAGGATTTGTGCTAAGGTGACCCTTACTAAAGGGACAGTAAGGCTAAGATTATACATTTCCAGAATAACTTGGCATTAAGTAGCTCAAAATGTGGGATGAGAGTTTTCAGTCGCTCTTCTTCCCCTACTCACACAGTATGCAGGTGTCTTTTTCCAAAGATCTCAGGATACTGAACGGACTTCGGGAGTTGAGATTTTTTAGAACTCTACTTAAGGTTTCCTTGTGCTTGAGAATCCTGCTCTAAGCTTGTTTTAAAATCTGCTTGTAGGAACTGGACTGAGCTTGGCTGGAAAGTTTCTTTTCCTGGCCAGTGCAGTAGCATTTATGATGTAGAATTGTCTGAAGTGCTCTGTGTGTGGCTTTCTCAAGATTACCTAGACGTTTCTTTATGTGTCATGTAAAAATGTGATTCCCCTCACCCTCCAAATGCATTGTATTTGGACGCTCCGTTCCACTTCCAGCATGTTTGTGTCATGTATTGGGAACTGGCAGGTATTTATTTTTATTTTCAATGCAAGAGTTAGGTAACTGTTCACTGGTGAATACTGGGTTAGGAACAATGGTGGCCAGCCTATGTCATTTCTCTGCCAACTGTAGCTTTTAAATGGAGAAGGGAACTGACACACCTTGAATGTGAGATTTCATTGCCCGGAACAAATGTGTGGCTCAACACGTGTTTTATTTTTCTTCTGCTTCTCTCACTTATAGTGAGGTTTCAGGAAAGTACATTTCAGCTGTGCATTTTTTCTCTCTGGGCCCATTTGTTCTGTTGCTCTCAGTGAGTGTCATATACCCATGTTTTTTCTGCCTTATTCCCGAGAGAGGAGAATGTCAACATTTTGAGAGGGCAGACTTGAAGGGCAAAATGAAACAGGCTATTTTATGTCATGGGTTTACAGAACCATATTATGATTTTTGTGGCTGCATTTCCTCTCCTATGAATACTCTTGTGTGTGTGTGTGTGTGTGAGGGAGGTGGATATACACAATGCACTTTGAAAATGTCATTGGTAAAGTTATGTAAATTTGTTCTCAAGGTTGGAAAATACATTAGGGTGGAGTTTAATTTTCTCTTCTGTTTCCAGAAGCCCGAGATTTCTGTCAGTTTGCTTGAAGGATTGTGCATGCAGGTGTGGCTTTGGACAATGTGTGTGGTCCCTGGGCCAGGTAGGCAGACTGGCTCCTCTTCATTCTGTCAAAGCAGAACTTCCCTTGGAGGGGAAATGGTGTCCTGTGCCACGCAGGGGGCCGTTTTGGTGGAGGGGATGTGCTGGGGGTTATGACAGCCAGGAGCGGTAAGGTGTATTGTGCTTGTTTGAAGAGGAAGTTAACAGGCAAGTTAGCAGTTTGTAGCCACAATACAGACAGCTGGTTTTGAAAGCGTCTTTGTGGTGCCTGCCTTACCTGGAAGGAGGTGTAGAGGGGTCATGGTCACACACACACACAAATACAGGTGCCATTTAGAGGGTTAGGGAGGAATGGAGTGCTTCTGGCCATCTTGTGCTGCTGAGGCTGTGTCCTGGCTGGCAGATGTTGTCATGGTATGGACCAGTCTTTGCACATTCGATCCAGCTCATGTGCTCTTGTCCCTGTCCATCTTCTGCTGCCCACCTCTGCTGGGTGTCCAGAGCTGGAAGCTCACTGGAGCTGGGCTCCCCAGCCGTACCAGGAGTGACTTTCATCAGCTCCTCTGTGTGTTGAAGTGAGGGTAATAAGGAACTCCTCTGTG